GAGAGAGAGAGAGAGAGAGAGAGAGAGAGAGAGAGAGAGAGAGAATTCATAAAGTCCTGAACACAGCTAGGCTTGGTTAATATTTGTCTGTTTTTATATAGGAATGAAATTGTGCCATCTTTAACTTAGGTGTTTATTTAACTTAAGCATTTTCATTGTTGGGATCAATGTGCTAGAACTGAATCATAACATTTTTTAGGCACTGACTGAAAAAAAAAAGTTACTGGCATCTTGAAAATGTGTGTATGGTGAGGGGAGTAGAACCACTAAAACCACCTAAGCATACGTGTGCTTACAAACTAAGCTGTAGAGGTCAAGGAAGGGCTTTAGAGTGGATCTCAAGATTTCTAAGTTATGGAGCGATGTGACATTGTGGTGGGACTTAGTTAACACTTAATAGCATTTGGTATGTAATAAGTATTTGCTGTGGATTGATCGTTTTCAGAGGATTGTGTTCTTAAATTTTGGGTTGGTTTGTTTAACTGCCTCTCAGATTATATTTAGTAGTTTAAATTTCTTTGCTTTATTATTTCATAAAGTATAAAATTTCAGAAGGTGGACTTGGTGGTGCATGCCTTTAACCCCAGCACTCGGGAGGCACAGGCAGGCAGACTGTAAGACTGTAAGATTGAGGCCAGCCTGGTGTACATAGTGAGTTCTAGGCCAGCTGAGGCTACAGGGAGACCTTGTCTCAAAAAGAAGTATAAAAATTTCAGGTCTCATTCTAATTATTGACAAGATACCTTTTTGTTGACTTTTATAAATGTGTGGTATATTAAATGTCTAAATTGTTGTTTGAAATTACATTAACTATTTTGCTTTAATGGGGTTTAGATACTATACTTTTTTTAATTTTATTTATTTATTTTGGTCTTTTTGACACAGGGTCTCCCTGTAGCCCCAAGCTGTCCTGGAACTTACTATGTAGACCAGGCTGGCCTTGAACTCACAGAGATCTGCCTGCCTCTGCCTCCTGAGTGCTGGGACTGCAGGCATGCACCACCATGCCTGGCAAATATTCTATTTTTTATTCTATGTATATGAGTGCATTTTCCTGCATTATGTAAGTGCACCCATGGCATACAGTACCCATGGAGGACAGAAGGTGGCAGTGGATCCCCTGGAACTGAAGTTATAAGGGGCTGTTAGCCACTATGTGGATACTGAGAATTGAACCTGGGTTCTCTGCAAGAGCTCCCAGTGCTCTTACCACTGAGCCATCTCTCTAGCCTCTAAAAATTAATTTTTTTTAATAAAAAAAAAGTTAAATGTGTATGATAGTATTCGCATTGTCAAGTCTTCAGCCATTCAAAAAATAATTTTCAGTCTTAACCTTTGTTCTCATGATCTTAGCCTCTGTGTTCTGTGTTCTTCAGGGAAGACTACTTTGCAAAAAAAAATGAGGAAAGAAAGCAAAGCAAAGTGGAAGCCAAATTAAAAGCTAAACAGTAAGTTTATTGAATTCATTGTGCCTTGAGAATTTCTTAAGCTTTGAGAAATTTAGGAGTAGTGGCTCTTAAGAAGAGCTGGTGAGTTTTGAAATGAGTGGTAACAGGTCTTTCTGTATTGGGAGTGAGACTTTAGGCTAAAGCTACCTTGATAATCTGGAATCCATGTTGCTGTATAGTTTGGTATTGAATAATCAGAATTTTAAGGACTGGCTTTGGTTATAAAGTGGTTTCGTGGTAAACACATTATAATTAAACACATTTATTTTTAGAGAACATGAAGGAAGACATAAGTCAGGAGGTGCTGAAATGGTAAGTCAGAATAACTTTTTTAAAGTTTTTATTTATTTCATACGTGTGTGCATGTAAACCAGTGTATTTGTCTGGAGGTCAGAGGACAACTTGTAGGTATCAGTTCTCTTTCCACCATTGGTCCTGGGTATTGAACTCAGAAGATCATCAGGCTTGGCAGCAAGTGCCTGTACCTCCTAAGCCATCTGGTTGGCCCTATAATCATTTTTTTTTTTATTATGGTTTTGTTTTGTTTTGGTTGTTTGGTTTTTTTGAGACAGGGTTCCCTGTACTTCCTGTTGGCCTGGAATGAAATATGTAGCCCAGACTGGCCTTGTTCAATCTTAGAGATCCTCCTGCCTGTCTCCCAAGTGCTGGGATTAAAGGTTTATGCCACCATGCCTGGCTTTTATTTTTTGACACAGGGTCTTACCATGTAACTCTGGCTGGCCTGGAATTGTCTATTTAGGCCAGCCTCAGTGCTGGGATTATTTTTCATTGTGTATATGTATGTGCACACAAGTGCAGGTATCATTGGAGGCCAGAAGAGGGTGTTGGATCCATTGGCTCTGGAGTCACAGGCAATGTAAGCTGCCCTATGTGGATGCCAGAACTGAATTTGGGTCCTCTGTAAGAACAGGAAGCGCTCTGAGGCACATTTTTAAAGTATGAAAATGTGTGTCATGCCTGGGATTGACCCACAATCCCCATGGTGCCTATGCTTAAGTATACCACTTATATTTCCATGACATTAAAATATATAAGGAAATCTATCAGCATCATTGCATTAGAGTGATACACAAATACTGTGATTATTAATTACTTTTAATAACCAGACTTAATGTATTTATGACTAAGTATCACTTATGGAAGGAATTAAATAAACTAAAATCCAGCCATTATAAAACAGGATGGCAAAGGAAAATACACTGTCAAACTGTATTCAAATACCATTTAAGTTTCTTTCCTTATATAGGTATAGAGTGGTTTGAGTCATTTTGGTCAGGTTGCTCTTAAGAAATCTTTTGATGGCCTTGTATATTTTCATAGAGATCTCTAGAAGGAAAAATTGGATGCTTACTCAAGTTTTCGGGTGACTTAGATGACCAGACCTGTAGAGAAGATTTACACATCCTTTTCTCAAATCATGGTGAAATAAAATGGATTGACTTTGTCAGAGGAGCAAAGGAGGTTTGGAAACATACCTTTTTTATCAATCAGTTTAAAACACTAAAGAATGTTATCGTTTAGAAAATAACTGGGGAAAGTTTTTATTTTTTTAATACTTAAAAAGAAAGCAGTTTTTAAATTGTGTTGATTAATATAGTTCCTGCTTGGTCATTTACTTCTTGTTCTTAGTCGTTTTACTCGATGTGATACCTGGTATTTTTTTGAATACTATAAATAACTTGGTATCAGTAATTGAAGTTTATTTTTAAAGCATTCTTTTTCTAATATTCAGTAAGATTCTTTGAAAATACTAACATGTTAATTGGGGAAAACTGCTTTGAGCAAAGACTACAGACTAAGAGTGCAACTTTCATTTTCTCTCCTTGATGTGTAGGGAATAATTCTTTTTAAAGATAAAGCTAAGGAAGCACTGGATAAAGCCAGAAATGCAAATAATGGTAACCTACAATTAAGGAACAAAAAAGTCACTTGGAAAGTGCTAGAAGGACACGTGGAAAGAGAGGCATTAAAAAAAATCATAGAGGATCAGCAAGAATCCCTAAACAAATGGAAGTCAAAAGGTCATTCTCATTTTTCCTTGAGTAAAAAGTTTAGTCAGTGTACACTTTTTTTTTTTTTTTTTTACTAAATTCTCAATTATGCTTCTCTATAGGTCGCAGATTTAAAGGTAAAGGAAAGGGAAATAGAGCTGCCCATCCTGGGTCTGCTAAAGGAAGAGTACAGTTTCAGGGAAGGAGAACAAGATTTGATGATGATGACCGTCGTGGTTCAGGTAAGTTTTTCCCAAGTCCTTTGATATTCTCATGAGAAAATTGTACTCTATAAGGCATTCTTTGCCAGAGAGAACAGAGATGTAGTTTTTTAACTTCTTTATAAATAACATTCATATATTATTACAGTTTTCTTTATGCTGTTTCACAAGTGAGGGTGTTTGAAAGGTAATCTTAGAGATCATAGTGTCTACTCAAGGAAAAGACCTTAATTTCATGAAGAGAAATTATTACTAATTTTTTAAAAAGCTGTTATTGGTACTTGTACTCAGTGTTTAGAGGAGTGCTTGCATTGAATTTAACAAAAATTATTATTTGTTGTATAGGACCAATGAAAAGGGGACGAGAAGGAAGAGACAGAGAAGAACCTGCATCCAAACATAAGAAAAGAGAAAATGGTGCTAGAGACAAGTAGTTTAGTAAACAACATTTTTATTCATCTTAGTTAGATTTTAAGCTGCTTTTTGTCTCTGGAAGCTTTTAAAAAGAAAACCGAATTAGGTCCACTTCGATGTCCACCTGTATAAAAGGAAAAATTTTTTTGTTGTTATACTTGTCTTTTTGTTGTTACCCAAATGAAAATTTTTTAAAATGTATAGTTCTGTTTGTGTTCGGATGATTGAAATATGAAAAGGAAAGTTCTTCCTCTTAATTGCCTTTGTAATATGAGAATGTATTAGTACAAACTTGTAAAATATATACTATATAAAAATAGCAAATAGTATTTTTTCCTTTTGTGCTCCTAAAACTTTTGATGAAGAACTTCAACTAGAATATTGGCTGTTGTGTATGGGCCCTTCCCACAATTTATCCAACCTTAGGCTTTCTGTTTATCCAGGCAACTAGCTAAGAGTGGAAGGGACTACTGCAAAGCTATTCAATACTGAATGTATACAGGCCAGAATTTGGAGACTTACTGATTTCTTTTTATGAAAACTGTATGATGCTGGCAGGTCATATCGAAGCTCTGTAAAACAAAAGCCATCTAAAGGTAAATATACATTTGCCACCGTTAAAATATATGCTGGTAGGCCTAACATTTTACATTTGTCACTTCGGATATATCCGCAAATAATGACCACAAGTAACAAGTGGCAATTTTAAGTTATAGGGAACAGTGAAGAATTAAGTGAAAAACGTTCTATGAAAATGATAGGACATTTCAATAGCTTGCTTAATTTCATAATAACAATGCTTATTTCAAAGTTTTCCTGTCTGGGTTTTAGTAATGATAGTAAGTCTCTAATTCTTAAAATAAGCTCTTCAGATGAAAGCCCATTTTTCATTTTCATTTTCTTTCCTTTATTATTATTATTTCGGTATTTTTGAGACAGGGTCTCCCTGTAGCTCCAGCTAGCCTGGAACTCAACTATGTAGACCAGGCTGTCCTCAAACTCATAGAGATCCACCTGCCTCTGCCTCTGGAGTGCTGGGATTGCTTGGATTAAAGGTGCGTGCCACCACACCAGGCCCTTCCTTTATTATTGATCAGTGTTAGGAAGGATAGGTAGCTGATTCCCGTCCTTCTATCTTCTAACATATTTGAAACCTATGGGCTTTCTAATTGTAATGTATTATCAAATCACTTACGAATCCTGTTGAAATCTCAGTGGAGCCCATAATTTTGACTGTATAGGTTCCATCAGCGTTAAAAACTGATGTTATGAAGACCACATGTGGAGTACCAAGGCTCTGGCTTAGTATGCCTTTGGGACTTTTTCAAAGTGTTCCATATTGCACTCTGTAGTATCAGTTGCATAAGTGATGACTTAATATAATAGGAAAAGCAACAGATCTTTATGAACAATTAAAGTAGATGCTCTAACACAAGGATGATTCATGGTAAGTTTATTGTGTAAGAACTGAACATTTTTGCTTTCTTCACCCTTGTGCTGGAGACTGAACCCAGGGCCTTGTGCATGCTAAGCAAGTAGTCTATGGTGTCCTCAGCCTTCGTTGCACTTTTTATTTCAAGTTTCAAAATGACTAGGATTATATCTAGCTTCTGTTTTTCCTTATGTGATGTTTGGCCGATATACCCAGTTCAGTAAAAAAAAGAAAAAGGTATCATATTCTGTCTGCCACCAGAAAGGAAAAGTTCAGTGTTGTTCAATTGTGTCTCAAGCAGACTGACTGCATTTTCCAAGAGTGGATTTCACACCAACTCCAAGCCTGTTTTTAACTCCATTGGTAAACTGGGACAGACACAGGTAAACCTTGATAAATGTTTACCTTACATTTACTGCATTTCTAGTGCACTACCACTCATATATATTTTTTAGCACTAGTACAAAAATTTTGTTGGGAGGCTGGGCATGGTAGTAAATAATTTTAATCCCAGTACTTGAGAGGCAAGAGGCCAGCCAAGGCTTCATAGTAAGAACCTATCTTTTAAAAAATTTTGGTTGAGCCGGGTATGGTGGTGCACACCTTTAATCCCAGCACTTGGGAGGCAGAGGCAGGTGGCTCTCTAGGAGTACAAGGCCAGCCTGATCTACACAGTGAGTTCCAGGACAGCTAGGGCTACAGGGAGACCCTATCTCAAAAAAGACCAAAAAAAAATTTTGTTTTTTAGTTGGGTAAATGCATATTGGCCTTTTAGGTAATTAAGGTTGAGGTTTATCTTACCTGCAATAATTTCTATCTTGATTTTCCATTCTGCAGCTTTCTTTTGAATATGCTAAATATAAAAAAGTTTCATGAGTTGATTACAATTAGGCTGAATGTGGTGGCACACATCTTTAATCATAGCACTCAGAAGGCAGAGACAGGCAGATCCATTTAAATGCAAGGCCAGTCTGGTTTATATAGCAAGTTCCAGGCCAGCCAGGGCTACATGGTAAGGTCCTGTCTCAAAAAACAACCTCCTCATAAGATTTAGCTTATATTATGTGTTATGAATGTTTTGACTACATGTATGGAAGTACTCCTGGTGCATACTGAAGAAGCCAGAAGAGCGTGTTCCCTGGAACTGAGCAGGCAGCACATAATTTTTGAAGACTTAACATTTTAGTTTAGCAATGACTTATTAATTTTTCTTTTTTATCCTTTTGGGGTTTTTTTGTCACGGGATCTTCCTGTAGCTCCAACTGGCCTGGAACTCACTGCTATGTAGACCAGGCTGGCCTCAATCTTACAGAGATCTGCCTGCCTCTGCTTCCTGAATGCTGTGATTAAAGGTGTGCTTATTTATTCAGTTTTCTGTCAGGATTTTTACACTGTGGCTTAGGCTGTATAGAACTCATGCAACCTAGGCTGGCTTCTAACTCCTGCCTCAGATTCCTCAGGTATGAGCCAACCGCATATAACTTGATTTTGCTGTTTACCTTTAAAAAAAAAAAATGCATATGTATGGATTGTAGCAGCTAGATAGTTTATGTTATAGCAAGTTGTACTGACTACATATCCTCAGGAAGGCCTGCTTGCAAGTTGAGCCCTTGGCTGGAGCATAGGAACTTAGATTTTGGGAGTTTCTACCCTTTACCCCATTGATAAGAGTGCCTCATTATACCTTGTTTATGCTGAATACCTGTCTTGCTTTTGGTTGTATGAGATTTTGATATGTCTAAGGAGGATGCTTATTTCAGTGTCCAATAAAAATCATGGGCACTGAATCTTTAATGAGTTTCTCTGGTTGACAGTATTCCAATTTGCTGTCATTTCATGCTTGAGGAATTGTGTCCTGTTTTCCACTGGAAGAAGGTTATATGGTTACAACTGGTTCTTCATTCTTTACCAATCTTTGTTTTTGCTGAGTGAGTCTGCTTCCATAAACCGAAGGACAGTATTCGTCAGCAGATACCCTATACTCTGTTGCTTTGCCAACATGTAAAATATTGTCAACCATAAGTATACATAATAGTCACATGTAGTCAGATGTAGCTCTGTTGGTAGAGTGCTTGCATAAAGCTAGGCGTGCTGGCCTATGGCTGTAGCCTCAGCACTGAGGAAGTGGAGGGAGGAGAATCAGGAATTCAAGGTCAATCTCAGTCACTAGTTCAAAGCCATATTGAGACCCTGACTCAAGCAAAAAACCAAAAATGTGTGTGTGAAGCAGGAAGTGATTTTTAATTTTTTAAATTGATTTTTCATATAATGAATTTGTTGTATTTAGATCCCTCCCCTATCTGCACCTCTCCCTTACAACTCCCCACCCAATTTCATGTGTGGGGGTATGCCTGTAGAGTCATATTTGTGTCCCCAAATGCCCTTTGGTGTGGTTCATCCACTGGAGCTTGGTCAACCAAGACACTCACCCTGCAGAGGCAGGTGGATCTCTGAGTTCAAAGCCAGCCTTGTCTACATAGTGAGTTCCAGGACAGCTGGGGATACAGGGAGACCCTGTCTCAAAAAAAGAGATTGATTCTCCCCCTTCTGGCAGCCATCCATTGCCTGTAGTTCCTCAGATAGGGTTGGGGTTTCTTTTTTTGGTCTTTTTGAGTCAGGGTCTTGTAGCCGTAGCTGGCCTCGAACTCAGAGATCTGCCTGCCTCTGCCTCCTGAGTGCTGGGATTAAAGGCTCGTGCCACTACACCCAGCAAGGGTTGGGATTTCTTAACTACTTCCCCAAGTCTATGCTAGAATTTTGTCTGGCTTGAGCTTACATGGGACCTGTGCATGCTGTCACCACTGCTGTGAGTTCATAGGCGTGACTGCCCACCTATCTGGATAACTGCTGCTTTGTGATCATCTACCACCTCTGGCTCTTAGAGTCTTTCCACTGTCTCCTACAATGATCCCTGAGCCTTTGACTTTTATATTTTTAGTGTTCATTTTTATTTGTGTGAGTGGGGTTTTGAAGGAGGGTGTGCTGGTACCACTTGTGTAGAAGTCAGAGGCCAGCTGTGGATTCCTGGAACCAAACATAGATGTCAGGCTTGGCAGCTAGCTGTTTTACCTGCTGAGCTAACTCACTGGCTAGAAATCCTAATTTCAAGGCCAGCCTCAGCTAAATAGTGTGAGACCCTGTCTCATAAAAATAAACCCTTTGTAGCTGGGCATGGTGGTGCACGCCTGTAGTCCCAGCACTTGGGAGGCAGAGGCAGGTGGATCTCTGTGAGTTCAAGGCCAGCCTGGTCTACATAGTGAGTTCCAGGACAGCTGGGGCTACAGGGAGACCCTGCTTCAAAAAAAAAAAAAAAAACCCTTTGTGTACGTGTGTGTAGTGTATTTTTTAAAAAAATTTTATGTGTATGAGTGTATTGCCTGCATGTATGTGAGTGCACCTGTGTCGTGCAATGCCACCAAGGTCAGAAGAGGGCTTCAGATTCCCTTGGAATTGGAGTTAAGGATTGTTCGGAGCCTCCATGTGGGTGCTGGGACTCGAACCCAGGTCCTCTGCAAGAGCAGTCAGTGCTCTTAACTGCTGAGCCATCTCTCTAGCCCCAGTGTATTTCATTTTAGCTCTTGATTTTACACATTCACTTTTTGGTTTTGTGGGTTTTGGTTTTTGAGAAGTGGGCCTAGAACACACTAGATGAGTGCCTGCATGTATGTATATGCACCACAAGGGTGCCAGTGGAGGCCAGAAGACAGTGTTGGATGCCTGGAGACACAGATGGTTTTAAGCCACTATATGGGTACTGGGAACTGAAACTGGGTCCTCTGCAGGAGCAGGAAGTGCTCTTAATTACTGAGCTATTTCCAACCCCTACTTTTAAAAAACATTTACTTATTGAGGATAGGTATGTGTATGTGTGTGCATGTGAAGTCAGAGGACAACTTTTGGGGAGTTGGTTCTCTCCTTCCACTACTTGGGTTCTGGATGATTAATTTTAATTGTCAACTTGACACATGAACCACCTGGAGAGCTGGGAGTGGTGGCACATGCCTTTAGTCCCAGCACTCCAAGTGCAAAGGCAGGTGGATCTCTGTTGAGTTGAAGGCCAGCTGAGGCTACAGGGAGACCATCTCAAAAAACCAAAACAAAACAGAACCACCTGGGAAGAGAATCTCAATGAGTTTCTACAGTAGGCTGGCCTGTGGGCATGTAGAGGATTGTTTTGATTATGTTAATTGATATGGGAAGAACCACTGTGAGTGGCACCATTCCCTGGGTTTGGACCCTGGACTATACAGAGTAAGCTGAGCACTGACTTGTATGCATACATTTTTTTTTTTTTCTCTTGGGCTCTTGACTCTGGTTGCTTCAAGTTCTTGTCTTGGCTTCACTGCTCTGATGGACAGTAACCTGGAATTGTGACCTCAAGTCCTTTCTTCTGTAAGGTGCTTTTTGTCAGAATATTTTATCATAGTAACAGAAATGAAACTGGAATACAGGGATTGAACTTAGGTCATCAGGCTTGGCAGCAAAACACCTCTATCTAGTAAGCTATCTCACCTACTTCCTGAGCATTTATCCCAGGCTGGCCTTGAACTCCCTGTGTAGTTGCAGATCACCTAGAACTTCTAATCCTCCTACGTTTATCCCCTAAGCACTTCACTACCATATCTGGTTTATGGTATGGGGAACAAATACTAAGGTTTTGTGAGACAGGGACTCTTGTGTCCAGGTTGGCCTGGAACATCCTTTGTATTTGAAGATGACCTTGAATTTTGGATCCTCTTGCCTCCATCTTCCCAGTGCTGGGATTACAGACATGTACCACCAAGCAACTTTATACTTTTTTTTTTTTTTAAGCTTATAGGTTGCAGTCTATCATTAGGGGAAGAACTCAAGGCAGAAAGAACCTGGAGGAAGGAAATGAAGTAAAAGACTGCTTACTAGCTCAAGTTCATGGTCAACTACCTTTTTTTTTTTCTTTTTTTTTGGTCTTTTTGAGACAGGGTCTCCCTGTAGCCCCAGCTGTCCTGGAACTCACTATGTAGACGAGGCTGGCCTTGAACTCACAGAGATCCGCCTGCCTCTGCCTCCCGAGTGCTGGGATTAAAGGCGTGTGCCACCACGCCCGGCGCAGTTTTATGCTTTTAAAATTATTTTTATTATTTTCATTGGTCAGAAGAAGGTGTCAGATTCCCCTGGAACTGGAGTTAAGGACGGTTTGTAGCCGCCATGTGGGTGCTGGAAATTGAACCCGGGTCCTCTGCAAGAACAGTCAGTGCTCTTAACTGCTGAGCCACCTCTCCAGTCCCAATTTTATACTTTTAAAAGGGTTATAAATGATGAGAGATGGCTCAGTGGTTAAGAACACTGGCTACTCTTGCAGAGGACCCAGGTTCAGTTTCCAGCACACAGGTGGTGACCCGTTGTTTACTCCAGTTCAGAGGATCTGACACTGGCCTCTGGGCACAAGGTACACTTGGTATATTTACATATAAGCAGGCAAAACACTCAAACACATAAAGAATGGATGGCTCAGCAGTTAAGAATACTCATACACTTAAATTAAAAAAAAAAAATTTAACTCATTAAAATCTAAAACAACAGAAACATCCAACCCTTAATCCCTGCCTCAAGTACTTGGGGTTGCATGGTGGCACTGGGACAAAAGGCATGAATTAACTAGGACTCAGGCAAACAAGAGCCCATCAGGCTTCTCTGCTTCTGAGTTATGGTCCCTTTACTGTCAAAAGGTCTGTCTGAATATATTTTGTTAATTTTTTTTTTTTGAGACAGAGTCTCCCTGGAGCAATACCAAACTGGCCTTGAACTCATAGAGATCCATCTGTATCTGCCTCCCGAGTGCTGGGACTATAGGCCTGCAATGCCACACCCTGCTTTCAAAGTGTTTCTTAAAAAAGGAAACAAAGACCAAAATTACACTGTTTGGTTAAAAAATAGGGTAATGTAAATTTAACTGCTGAGCCATCTCCAGCCCCCGAAACTCATGAATTTTAAAATGACAGTATTATTGGTTGGTATGATGGCTCAGTGGGTCCTTGCTGCTAAACCTGACAATTTGAGTTCTGAGTTCAATCCCTAGGACCCACATAGTGGAAGAGAACCAAATCCTGCAGGTTGTCCTCAGACCACACACTTGCCATGGCACATGCATACATACCCACACACACCATCAATCAATAAATGTAATAATAAAGATGGCAATATTATGATTTGAGCTTACTTCTCTAGTTGAGGATTTGTGTAATGAATATACTGCTGTTCTTGCCATTTCCAAAGCAGTCTTTAGAAAAGCCATATCCATCCCTGTGAAGAGTGAAAAAGAAAGTTCCCATTATGCATTTCTTATCAAAGTAGATTAAATGAATAGGATTAAGTAGCATTTTTTTCCCACACTCTAAAATCATTACTTCAAAGTGGGTTTTTTTTTTTTTTTTTTTGGTCTTTTTGAGACAGGGTCTCTCTGTAGCCCCAGCTGGGCTGGAACTCACTATGTAGACCAGGCTGGCCTTGAACTCACAGAGATCCACCTGCCTCTACCTCCCAAGTGCTGGTATTAAAGACGTGTACCACCATGCCTGGCTTGAAATGATTTTTAAAATTTGTTCTACAAATATACCTTTTTTTTTTTTTTTTTACTAACCTTTATTGTTTTTGGTTCCAAAGGGAGGGTTCATAATTACTGTATCAAATGACTTGGGCATTCTATTTGATAATGAGTACACATCACACTGAATCATATCAACATTTGTTAACTCAAATTCTTCCACATTCCTATTAAATATTTCCAGTGCATCTTCATCTATGTCAAATCCAATACACAACCTATAATACAAAATATACATAAAAGAGAATTTATGGGCTCCCAGTCAAAACAAAAGTATTTTATTGTATTTTTCAGCCCATTTGACAAAATTAGAGTGTTGTTTTTCTTTTTTTGGTTTTTGTTTTGAGATAGGGTCTCCCTGTAGCCCAGCTGGCCTGGAACTCACTATGTAGACCAGGCTGGCCTCAATCTCATTAAGATCCACCTGCCTCTGCCTCCCAAGTATGGGGATTAAAGGTGTATACCACCTCATGGGGTTTTTAGGAACAGAATATCCCTATGTAGCACTGACTTACTATGTAGACCAGTCTTACCTCAAACTCACAGAGATTCACTTATCTCTGCCTCCCCAGTGCTGGGATTAAAGGCCTGTGCCACCACCCCTGTCAAGTGTTGTTTTTCAATAGTCTGGCTTCCCAGTCTGGCAGGAATTGGAAACTTAGGTTTGTATAAAGGGGGAATAAAAATGTGTTGTCATTTTTCTTATAAATTTTTTGATCTGCCTATTCAAAAAGTATTCAATTATCAAAACTGGATCACTTACCCTGCTCCTAACATTGCAGTTCCAATGCTAAGTACTCCACAGCCACATCCTAGATCTGCAACCACTTTATTTTCAATGTCATCATATGTGTTATGGATTGTATAGAGCATGCATGCTAAAAAAAATTATATATATATATAAAGAAGAACAGTGAGTAAGTTAGCAAGTGCATTATTAAAATCCATTGCAAATGACTAAAATAATTATCCCCTGCATCGAAAGCCAGGTTATATTTAAAATATAAGGCGTAATAACTTGTTATATAGGAAGAGGCACAACAAAGGAGGGCAAGAAACATCAGTGGTTCCCAAATGCTAGTCCCTGCTGACATTGCCAAGAGTGACAAAACTATGACCAATCTCTTAAGTAAAATGAGAAAAAAGTCAGGATGTTTTTACCCATCTTTAGCCGATTCAAAACACTGCTCTACTCACATGAATAAACAGATATATGGTCTTTTCCTTTGATGCTGAAATATTTTTTTGAAATATTATTTTAACATATATCCTTCTTTGTCAAAATATAAATGTAGTAACCCAGTATCAATCTCCATTTTGAAATTTTACTGAGCTGGGGCTGGTGACATGGCTCTCTGTGGGCAAAAGCACTTGCCACACAAGCCTAATGACCTGAGTTCAAGCCCCAGCACTCATGGTGGAAGGACAAAACCAACACCTGAGTTGTCCTCTGACCTTCACACACATGCCGTGGCATGTGCACACTCACAATACACACACACAAAATAGCATCGGTGTGATGGCTTGGCAGGAAAAGTCCTTGTCTCTAAACACAAGGCCTTGAGTTTGATCCCCAGGATCCACATGGTGGAAGGACAGAACCAATCCTGTAAATTGTCTGGACACCACACATGTTTCATGATGCATATGCTCCCCCCATTTTAAAAAATTAATAGATCTGGACATGGTGGTGCATGCCTGTAGTCCCCGCACTTGAGAGGCAGAGGCAGGTGGATCTCTGTGAGTTCAAGGCCAGCCTGGTCTACATAGTGAGTTCCAGGACAGCTGGGGCTACAGGGAGACCCTGTTTCAAAAAGACCAAAAAAACAAAATAATAATAATAATAATAATAGAAATAAAATACAAAAATTTACTGACTTGTGAAGTCTATAAATCTAGGCATCATTAATGTCAAATAAACACTAATAATAAAAAGGCACAGTAGCTGGTGAGATGGCTCTGTGGGTAAAGGCACTTGGTAACAAGCCTGACAACCAGACTTCAATCCCCAGGACCCTTATGGTGGAAGAAAGAGAACTAAGTCCCAAAAGTTGTCCTTTGACTTCCACTGGAGTACTGTGGTATGTGCACATCCTGACACACAAATAAATAAATGTAACTTAAAAAATTAAGGAGCAGAGAGCTTTTTTCAAGAAATTTACTACCAGAATACCAACCAACTTCAACACCCACAATATGGTCTTAGACATTATCTATTGATACATGTAGAGACCTGAGACCTGATAACAGAAATGATGATCAGAGTGGAAGTGGCCAAGGTCAGAAAATTTCAAACACAAGGCTCTTAGATACACAGGAGGTTAAGCATGAATAATACCACCAATTTTTCCTTGTGCATATCTGAAATCAGCAAACGCTACTGACCATCACATATGCCCGAGGATCCAAAACTTTTATTAAAACAATTACAGGGATATCTCAGACTTACTGTTACCTTGATTATTGTTGTAGGTATTAGAGACTTTGAAACTGAGAGACCTGAGTGACTCCATCTTGGATAAAACCTCCATAGAACTGACCCAGCCCTGGGCCCTGTTCCAAGAAAAACCACAATACTTGGAATGGATAGAGAACAACTCCCCCACCAATGGTCAATTAACCAGGGACAGGAAAGTACTAAAAGTCCAGGTATCTTTTCAGATTTCCTGAAGCCAGCAGTTTATGGTTTGGCACTGAGCTGCAACCAATCAGATGCCAGGCTGAAGACCCCCTCCTCCCCTACTTGCTGAACTTGCTGAAATAAACCTATAAAAACCTCTGTCTCCCAAAGCAAGGGGTCTCACATCTGAGATCCACTGAGTCGGTGACAGAGTGGACCCAAGCTTAAGCTTGTAACAATAAAAGAACCCTTGTGTATTTGCATCGGTCGGCTCCTTGGTGGTCTTTGGGGTCTCTCGAACTGGGCACAACATCTTGGGGGCTCATCCGGGATCCCCAAGACCCCCCCCCAAGGACCCCCGAACCAGAGGGTTCTTGGCTGGCCAGTAAGTGTCTGTTTCTAGTTGTACCTGTCTGTGTCTGTCCTAGCTTTTGTTCTGAGACTCGAGGCAAACCTGTGAACAGTGTGGTCAGGAGCAGTTGGAGCGGACGTGCTAGATGACCGTGACCACAGAGGTCTGGAAGACATTCCAGACCTCGGCAGAGGGGACGGAGGGCCCCGGACTCGGTTGATTCCTGTGAAAGGACAAGGTGGGTCACTCCTGTGGCATGGCAGTTTGCCGCTGTCCTACTTTCAGTTTTTCTTCTGCATGAGCAGGGGAATTTGTTACTTGGCTTTCTGTGTGTCTTTCTGACTCTCTGTTTTGTCTTTGGTTGTCTATTTCTCTGTGACTAAGACAGATGCAATGGAACAGACTCCTTCTAACCCCTGGACCTGGTTCTTACACATTTTGGAGAGGTTAAGACTCGAGCCCATAACCTCTCTGTTGTTGTCAGGAAGAATAAACTAATTACTTTCTGCAGGTCTGAATGGCCCACTTTCAACGTGGGATGGCCCTCGGAGGGAACCTTTGATCCTGCTGTCCTTAAAGCAGTTGAGAAAATTATTCTTCAACCACATATGGGATACTTGTATCAAATATCATACGTAATGGTCTGGGGAGATTTAGTTAATAACCCCCCTCCTTGGGTCAAGTCTTTTCTTCCTTTACAGAAAACTGAGGTGCTAATGGCTGCAGAATGGAAAATGACAACCCAGAAAGCACCTAAACCTGAAACCAAACCATCAGTACTGTCACTGTACCCTGTCTTACAGGGAAGCACAGAAAAAGATCTACTTTTTCCTCCCCCTCCTTATCCACCTCTTCCACAGGAGGTACCCCCTCCAGAACTGGCACCCCTGGTATCAGTTTCTTCACAGGCACAGGGGGGACCAGCTCAGGGGACTAGTAGAAGGGCAGCAACACCGGAGGGTCCAGACTCTACTGTTCTACCCCTCAGAATCACCGGCCCCATGGATGAGGCTGGCAACCAGCCTGATAACTGTTGGCCATTTGCCACTAGTGACCTTTACAACTGGAGAACCCAGAATGCTCCCTTTTCTGAAAATCCTAAGGAGCTTATTAATTTATTAGAAACTGTCTTATTCACACACCAACCCACTTGGGATGATTGTCATCAATTATTACAGGTCCTGTTTACCACAGAAGAAAGGGAACGTATCCAAACAGAAGCCAGGAAGTTAATTCCTGGCAATACTGGTGTCCCTACTACTGACCCAACACTGATTGATGCTGCCTATCCACTGATCCGGCCTGATTGGGATTATAATACTGCAGAAGGTAAGGGGAGGCTTCTGGTTTACCTCCTGGCTCTGTTGGCAGGTCTCAAAGTGGCTGCTCTTAGGCTAACTAATTTGGCACAGGTATACGATATTAGGAACTAAATGAAAGCCCAGCTGCATTCTTGGGGCAAATAACGGATGCCTTCTGCAGGTACACGCCATTAGACCCGGAGGCCCAAAGATAATGTAGTGGCAGTGGCCATGGCTTTTGTTAACCAGTCGGCTCTGGATATAAAGAAAAACTCCAAAGAGTAGAGAGACTGGGTAAAAAGAGCTTAAGGGATTTAATAACTGTGGCCAAGAAAGTGTACAATAATAGGGATAGTGCAGAGGAAAAAAAAAAAAAAACAGATAAAGGCAGAAAAAAGGCAGAACAAGGACCTGGCAAGGATTCTGCTGGCTGCCACTGCAGATCCAGAGGACCGGCGGAGGGGTCTGAGACAGACAACATTGGGGAAAGGAGTCTCTTGCAGTATGTGGATGACCTACTTGTGGTGGCAGACAGCCAAGAGGTTTGCATGGACAGCACAGAATGCCTGCTACAGACGTTGGGAAGCCTGGGCTATCAGGCCTCTGCTAAAAAGGCCCAAGTATGCAAACAACAGGTCCAATACTTGGGCTATATACTCAAAGAAGCACTACTGGTAAAAGATGCTGACAAACTGACTTTGGGCCAGAACTTGACAATCACCACACCACATGCAATTGAAGGAGTTTTAAAGCAGCCTCCGGACAGATGGCTAAGTAATTCCCGTATAACCCATTATCAGGTATTACTTCTTAATCCTGCTAGAATCACCTTCCAGGTACCAGTTGCCCTGAATCCAGCCACACTCTTGCCAGGTGTGCAGGGGCGGCTGTAGTATCATTAACCAGCATCATTTGGGCAGAGCCTCTGCCCACTGGCACTTCGGCCCAAAAGGCTGAACTTACTGCCCTAAGACGCTGGTATTGGAAAAGGACAAAAAGCTTAATGTGTATACAGACAGCTGATATGCCTTTGCCACCACACATGTTCATGGGGCAATATATCGGGAATGGGGCTTATTAACGGCAGAGAAAAGGACTGTCAAAAATAAAGAGGAAATCCTAACATTGCTGAAGGCTCTCTGGCTGCCAAAGAAATTGGCAATTATCCACTGCCCGGGTCATCAAAAAGGGGATGATCCTATTTCCCAAGGAAACAATCAAGTGGATCAGGCGGCTAAATAGGCTGCCCTCCAAATTGACTCAATTTTGGTCACCACACTAATTGACACAGGTGACCCAAACCTCCCTGAAAAGCCCAGATACACTGGGGAGGACCTAAAATGGATAAAGAGACTGCTGAGGACCCAATGCCTGGAAGGATGGTGGAGGTCAGCAGAAGGGAAGCTGATCCTCCTGGAAAAATCCCACATGGGCATCAAGAGGACGCAGGACTTAATTTGACATGCCAAAGTAAAAATCAAGGATGCTAATTATTTAAAGACATTGTGAATGGCTGTAAAGTTTGCCAACTCACTAATGCGGTGCCAAATATTAGAAACCCAGGAATCAGACTTCGAGGGAGAAAAACCTGGAGCCTATTGGAAA